TTTTCACGCTGCAGAGCCTGCACTCAGCAAGGTCGTGCCCGCCAAAGGTGTGCATTGCACATCCACCGAGCTTTGAGGCTGTCGCCGATAAGGATGCCCCAAAGCAGGACAGGTCATGGCAAACAACGCGTGGTCTGACATCTTCGGCCAAAGAACCGGTAAAGGCATCAGGGAGAGCGGTCAACTCGAAGTGATCCTCCTCATCGGAGCACCATCTTCAGCAAGAACTATGCTGCGACCTTCATCGTCAAATCGATGTATCAGGGGATTTCGCCCAAGTGCATAACTACGGCTTCAAGCTGCTGCAGCTCCGTACGGCACCGGACTCCATAGACAAATACACGGAAAATCAAGATACAGGCTAGAATCAATATAACAGCGAAGCTTGCAAGCCTGTTCATGCGTCGTGTCGTAGCGGAATCTCGCAGCCTGAAGAACTACACCGACATTGCATACATGCATGCCTACAGACGCATGCCTGTATGCAAACATAGGTGCACTTGCAGAGGCATACACCGTGAAAACAGCGCGTGTGTACGATCATGTGTGGACACATGTATGTAGATGGACATGTACACATTGTTGGAAATTCATACATACTCGTTAGTTTATCTAGTCGTCCTCCAACTGTCGATTTTTACGTGCATGCCTGTAAGATGCATCCATGCATATGTTGCATGAATAAGAGCAACTGAGTAGATCAAGACAAGACAGATAAATGTGCATGCCTTGGTACTCATTTTATCTGAAAACGTAAATACGAAATTTACATACATTTTTACTTACATACAAAACAGCACACGCACAAATGCGCACACAGTAAACTACACACATGTACATGTACACGTGCACATCCAATCACATTTGCACGTACCCCCCACACTTGCACGACTTGCACTTACACATACACAGATGCAGACACATGAGCACAGGCATACACGTACATACATGTCATACATACATACATACATATACCCACATTTAAGCACATGGACACACACACACACAAAACATACATACTCATACATACATATATATATATATATATACAAATGTGTACCTGTGTAAATACATACATACATACACACGTACATACACGTAACAGCAACAATAGTAAGAATAGAAATAGATTGAATAACAGTAATACTGGAAATTATGGTAATAATAGCAATAATAGTAATAGTGGTACTAGTAGTAAAAATAGTAATTGTAGTGTAATTAATAGTAATTATAGAAATAATAGTAAGAAACGTAATAATAGTTATACTAGTATTAATGGTAATATTAGTAAAGGTAGTAATACTAGCAATAATAGTAATAATAAATAGTAAAAATAGTAATACTAATAAAACTGGTAATACTAGTAATACTAGTAATAACGGTAATACTGGTAATAATCGTGATAATAGTAATAATAGTGATAATAGTAGTAATAGTATTAGTAGTAGTAATCGATCTGCAGCCACAAGTAAGCCCAATGGCATCCAATAGACCTGCCATAGCAAGCCTGGTTTTTGGTACCGTAGCACGATGCTTCTTTCTGCAAGCAATGTGCATTGCCACATGTTCCATTGCGACGCAAAGCCGCATTGCATGAGAGTTTGGCTGCAAGGACATGGTCCGGAAAAACAACAACCAGGTGAACCTGCGGTTTGACGGTTGGTACTCGTACGCAGTCGTGGTTTGGAGGCTTAGGGATTGGGTGATATTTGGATTTTGTGTGCAGGGTTTAGGGAGATTGGAATAAAGGCATTGTCCTGCCAGATTCGCAATCGCAGAGCGAAGCACGCTTCGCAGACACTTGCCAGGATAACGATGACAACGACTGCATTGGCAGCAGCCACATCTTCTTCCTTAACAACAACACCGACAGCAGCAGCAACAACAGCAATAGCAACAGCACGTCTAGAGTCGCTATCGGAGCTATCACACCAACAGCGCCAGAACAGTGACACTGCCAACAGAAGTCATAGAATCAGAATTACTGGAAGCTTGGTGAATCAGCCATGCACGGTACCCACGATGTCTCGGCCCTGCTGAATTTGCCCTAGCCGTTCTTCTGCCTACATCCTTCAAACTTGATATCCTACAACCGAAATCTCTGTCAGTTAGCTTGCCTGCCAGGTGATCACCTGTATCCCTGCTCCACTCTCTGATCGCTCGGCACTTTGGCCGAGGCTTCGTGCAAGACCAGTGTCAGGTTTGGAATGCTTGGGGCTGTAGGTTTGTCACATTTGCCCCTGAGAATGCTGCCGCAGCCTCTTTTGACTCATGTGCCCTGGTGGCACCCTTGTGGCCTTGTGCTTATGAGCACACACTCATTAGTTCATCCATTAGTGAGCGATCTTTGTTTACTTTCACCCAGCCTCGCATCCGAAAGCCGGAAATGCGAGTTTCGGAAAACAGGGGATCCTAATATGGTACCCTAAATAGTATGCTCCTCATTATCAGGACCCCAAACTAAGGTACCCCTAATTTTCGGAAACTCCCAAATGGGGCCCAGCGAACAAACAGCATGTGATGACAAACGCCGGGCCCAGCAACACCTCACAAAGAAGCCCTACTTCTGGGAGCCCTTGCTGTAACTCCCGTGCTTTGAACCCCAAGTGCCGACTCCTAAACCCAGAAAGGTTTGACCTTGAGTTCTTTGGGAGCTTCTTACATATCAGTAGATATCAGAGTAACCCTAAGTCAAGCGAAGAGCCATGACAAAGAGTTGAGTCAGAGTACTATCGGGAACTTAATAATTTCCAACACTAGTTTGGGGGTTCCTTATTATAGTTATAGTATAGGGCCAAACCCTATTCTGATTATTAGGGCCCCTCTATTGAATCCTTACGATCCCCGAGCTCTGAAAGGCGATTAGCTCCGGGCAGCTGGGCTACTGCCACTGAGCAGCAGTTCTTGGGGTTTAGGGTTTCAGGGGTTGTGGGTTTCCTTTATTAGGGGGTTAGAGTTCAGGTTTAGGGGTTTAGGGTTCGGGGATGAGAGCCCGGCGCAAGTAAACCTCAAGCACAGGATAAGGATAGACAGCCACATCTGTACGCGAAGGAAAATGTCCAGATTTCTGACTCAAACTGAACCTTCATGTCCAAGAGCGTGTTCACAGAAGCAACAGGAACACAGAGATACACGAAAATTGTGCATGTATATAAGTAGGAAACTATATATACATATATGTAGGCATATGCACATACATATGTATAACCAGTTTTAACCATCCAAGTTTGGAGGCCTTTCGGCATTTTATATCAGAGTCTGCTGGGAATATACCAACCTCACCAAAACCGTAAGCCGTAAGCCCCAAACCCTAACGGTCGTCAGGTGCCGTGGGAGTGAACTGGAACAGCCGGAAATGGCTTTCGACGACTAAACCAAGAAGAGCATCTGAACCCTGAACCCAAAGCCCTAAACCCTAGACCCTCAACCCTGAACCCAGAACCCTAAACCCCCAGCCCAAGCTCCCGACCCAAGTCTGCTGGACTTTGGAGAAAGAGCTACTGCATCTAAAAACAAAGCCCCAGCCCTACCCTAAACCCTAAACCCTGAACCCTAAACTCCACACTAGGTATTCCGACTGTAGCAGGGAGGAAAAGGGCCCTCAAAAAAAAAAAAAAACTCCACACCAGAGCCCTAAGCACTGGGTACGTCCTGGACCTTTTTCGGCAACCCAGGCCTGGATGCGGGCTGAGAGGATCGGACCCGGTCCGGGGCTCCCTGTCGCAGATCTATGTATACTATAAAAAAATGCGTATATGTATATATATATATATATATATATATATATGCATATATATATATATATATATATATACACACATGGGTACATGCATAGATCTATGTATGGACACATATACAGAAATACAGAAATCAGCAAATATAAATAATAAATACAGGAATATATATATATATATATTTATATGTATATGAATAGGTATATGTACATGTATATGCATATGTACAGGTATAGGTATAGGTATAGGTATATGTATACGTATACGTACATGTATATGTATGTATGCATGTATGTGTGTACATATATGTATATGTATACATGCATATGTATAATGCTCCTTTCATCTGTGGAATTCAGGGTCGTCGTTTGCAGTGCTTGAGGGAAGGTGCTTCGAGGGCTAGAAGATATCCGGGGGAGCTTCCTGCTCAACGAGCTGCCCGAGGGAGCTTCCGAAGAAGTCTCAGTAATGATAAACAAGAACCGGGAACAGACTGGGAGTCCATTGTCGTTTGTGTGCATGGAGGCCATTTGCTGGAGTTCAGCTGTGATTTTGTGCGGCTTACGCCTTGGCAGTCCTTGTGTGCTCGACTTGCCACCCACAAGGCATAAGCATCGGACGAGCTGTGCGATAGACACGCAGTGTTCCAGCGACCTGTACCGAGGACCTTCGAAATCGGTACACCCTCCCGTGAAGTCACCCGCGCCTGGGACATCATGCCCTTTGTGGAGCTGCCTGGCAGCATTCAGCCCAAACCCTTCTTCGTGAGTGTGTTTGACCGGTTCTTTGGCGCACCAATCTCAGAACTTGGCTGGGGCTACTGATGGCCATGCTGACATGCCAGTGGCTAGTGTAGCAAGAACAGGAGCCGTGTAACAAAAGCGGTGAGCTACGCCCGACACTGCGCAACTTAGTTCGGGCCTCGTGAGGCCCTGCAAGCACTCATCCGTCAGCCAGCAATTTGCCAAGCAAGTATGCAAGCGCATCGTCAGATGAAAGAACAGATGACAAGAAAGTGGGATAGTCACAGAGCAGTGAGAAAACAACCAAAGGAACATGCAGAAAGGAACTGGTGGACCTCAAGTATCGTATTGGTGCTTGAATCGTCAGGGATGTGATTTGACAGTGACTGCGGTCAGCTGCAGAGTTGAGTGGGAATCCAAGCTTTGCTGGTTGCGTTTTGAAGTTCTGCAGGTCGGAAATCCTAGCCGTTCGTGCCCAAAGCCCTCGGCCGCAACGGTGAAGTCTCTGATCATACCGTAGAAGATGGGCAATCTTTGCTGCCCTCCTGCTGCGCCGTCGCCGGTCACTGTCCACATTTATGACGTGACCGGCACAGCACCGTTTAAGGCCTTCAACCAGATCCTGCGTCCGTTTGGAACTGGTGCCTTCCACGCTGCGGTGGAGGTTCATGGCGCTGAGTTGAGTTACGGTTTTGGCCATGGTATCGTGCAGAACCAGCCGCGAGAGTGCGAGCAGCACTCGTACCGGGAGTCGATTCATATGGGATACACGGATCTCTCCCCGTTCGAAGTGGAGATGCTGATCACCAGCATGTCAAGGCGCTGGCGTGGTGACAGATATCATTTATACCAACGCAACTGCTGTCATTTTGCGGATGAGTTGTGCCCCACTAACTACGTTGTTTTGTGGTCGACTTTTTTGATATGTTCGTTTCTTAGTTCCTAAGATATTCATAAGATAAGAGGTAAGCTCCCCAAGAAGACATACTGTCCTAGTGGGGGACCGAGCCTGGGCCATTTGCTGGGCATAGGCGAGCTTCCATCTTGGGTCAACAACCTGGCAGCCGCAGCATCCAAAGTGGAGGAAGTCAAGAAACGTTTCTTCAACCCTTTCGGCCTTAAGGACGAGCGTGCAAGGGTAGAGGTGCCTCGATTTGCATATGGGTGTTAGCAGCTATAGCAGAGTGTGTTAGGGTAGCAGCGTCTCAGCCCCGGGACTTTCAGTGGATGTCGCGCGAAAACCGCGCACCGCATCCACAGTCACAGACGTTACGAGGCTGATGCACAAGACTCGAGCCTGGACTCGAGTTCTATGTTCACGAGAACAAGCGTCCTGCTTACACTTGATTCCAGCATAGCCGCGTCAAAGCTCCGAGAATCGGATCGGAGCATAGGACAGTCTGACCAGCAGCGTTTTGCTGCTCTTTGATATCAGAACGAATTCGCACCACACAAGTCGCTGTGCTGCGTGCACAAAAAGGAAGTGGATGTGTGCTTGTGGGATTTCTGCGCAATCATCCTCAGTTGGTCCGGCGGGCTGTCAGAGTTTGTTCGAGCATTGGAACTATTGTCACGCATTGGGATTTTCTTCTGTCGTCTTTGATAGCTCCAGTGCAACGTGTGTTCAAATGACGTGTCGGAGGGGGCAAGGCACTCACTGGAAGCCCCGTCAGTGAACAGTGGCTTTTGGTGCAAGATAGCCTGGCCCTTCAACCGGATCCGCCATTTCGACTCTGTGAAAAGACTCTGCAAGTCCTGAGCTGTATCCTAAGCCTACATCCAAAACGCCAACCCCTAAGCCGAACCTATTCCCCCAATTTCTTGTGGTGAATCCGGCTGTTGCTTCATCGCACTCGCTGGCGATGGGGAGCTCAGGGAGGGTACCCTGTTCAGCCGGTGTAGTCGAACCCTAAACTCCAACTTCCAAACGCTGTGAGGCTGATACACGAGAAGAGGATTTGCCCATGGGCCGACCGCTACAGTCTCGGCGCCACCAGCAGCCTCGAGGCAAGACCTGTGTGTTGGGGTCTCTAAGCTGTCTTGTAGGGTTTGGGGATTTGATGTTTGGGGTTTGGGTTGAAGGCTGTTGCCGTGTTGGTGGACACGTGGTTTCTTGCCGAGCTCAGGATAGCAAGCAAGATGAAGCGTCTGGTTAGTAAGAAGCAACCTAACAAGGAAATGTGAAGTGTGGAATCTTTTGGACGCAGCCTGACTCAGCAAAGGACAAGTTTGCAGTCACAGATGCTTGGGGTGACTGCTGTTCAAGACACATTCCAGGAGTGTGCGAACAACTGCTTCTGGATGAACTGCAAATTCTTCGAGTTTCGTCGGGAGTGGCGGAGTTGCATCTGGTGCTTCAACCACAATGCAGAGGGCACCGATGTGTGGCCTGGCTGCATTTGCGGGCTGTTCGCAATCGAAGCCTCCCGAGACCCTCAGCCCTAAATCGCTTAAGCAGTCAAGTTCTGAAGGAAGGCGGGCGGTTCGCGATTCTGAGGCTCGGCACCCAGGACTCCCGGCGCCGCACCTGGTCCGCCAAGGCGGAGGGAGGCCTTCGATTTCGGGTAATCGGACGAAGATGTTCTCCCTTGTGCGCGTGCATACTGGACCCCTGACCGACGCCCGAAGTTCTAGCCTCTGATCTGGCTGGCATGGCACGGCACCGTCGAGCTTTCTGTATCCGAAGCTTCCCATCCCAAATTCTTGTCTGGTGTAAATCCCAAGCCTGTAAGTCTCACACTCCGCCACCGCAGGGCGCCCTGATATCACATCTTTTGCTATCGAAGCCGGTGCCAGGAATCTACCGGTTGAACACGGACATGCAGGAGTACCTGAAAGACCGCGTGAAAGGAGGTCCGGGACCTCAGGATCCAGGCGTGTTTTGGCTCTTACCGGGGGCCTTTTACAGAGCGTGTTGTGTTTTGGATAACTCGGTTTCCGGGCGACGATAGGGGTGTTGGTGTTTTTGGGTTGTTTGGATTTTGGGGTTTGTCCAGGCAGGCACACGCCGGCTTTACCCAGATGGATTTCGTGAAGCGCCCTAGTGACCTAGTGAAAAAGGGGATGATCGCGCTGTCGTGGTTGCTATTGGAGATCGTGGGTGGAGCTGCGGCTTTGGTTGCTCAGATCCGTGCGGGTGCCTACAAGATCTTTCGGTTGCATAAGAACCTCCAAAAAAACCTCGAGCTCTGTACGGTCATTGAAAACCTTATCCAACCTCGACAATTACAGCAAGATGCTATGTACACAACAGAAATAGATACATAGAGCTTTGCAAGCCTTCTGTCGGTGTCCTCTTGACCCTAAACTTTGCCCTAAACCCCCAGACACGTAGCGAGGTCCGAACTGGAAGCTCCTGATGTCGGATGGCAGGAGATGCAAAGGCATCGAGGGAGTGAGCAGTGGGATGTTGGGGTTGCCAAGTGAGAGCGGTGTGATAAAGCTCGCGCGGGGGGAGGGGGGAGGTCTCTTTCTACAGAGTTTGGCAGAGTTGGCGGTTCCTTGTTTTTGCACGGGCGACTCCGCTTTTGCGACACCATCTACTCTTGAGTTGGAGCCGGTTTCACCAACTTGATGCGCCTTGCTGTGCCAGAAGTCGGGACATCTGTTTTCAAAGCTCGCGCGCGCGGGTGTGTGTGTGTGTGTGTGTGTGTGTGCGTGTGCGCGCGTCATTCGCTTTCGACATCCTGAGAGACGATCTTTAATCACGTGAAGGAAACTTACCATCTTCCAGAACATGGGTTGTTGTTAGTCGTTTTGGCGCTTATTCTGCGGCATGGGGCGGAAATGCAGGTCAGGTCTTCTACACCTCAAACACCATCAACTCCTGGCGCATGACGGGCACCTTGGCGTAAGTTCCGCAGCGGGGTTTTGGCTTCGGCTTTTGAGAACATGTGGGAAGTTGTAGCATGAGATGCTCTGATCATTCTCGCGTGTGCAGGGTTCTGGACCCGTGTTGAAGCTGACTGTTCTCGCCTGTCACGTTCCGTCGTTTCTGCTAAGAATGAAGAACAAGGCAATATGACGTAGTTGAGACTGAGATCATGTTGTCGCTGTAGCTGTTGCGGTTTCTGCTCTACTGGCTCGACTCGTTTTCTTCTGCTTTGCTTACTGTTGTCCTTCTGACTAGTGCCGCTGTTGTCGTCGTGCTTGCTGTGGTTGTGGTTGTGGTGTTTGCGGGTCTCGGGGTGGTCGTCGTCGTCGTTGCTGTTGCTGCTGCTGCCGCTGCTGCTCGTGTCCTGCCCGTGCTGCACCGCTGCTCAGCCAAGGAGCCAACATCCAGCAATGCGCTGACCACTGCTCCTCCCTGGGCACCAGCATCTCTGCTCAACGGCAGCTTAAGCCCCGCTCCGAGCCCCAGAAGCCGCGAAGCCTTCCAGGACTCCCCTAAACCCCTCAGAGTCAGCTCTTTGAATCCCCGCCTGACCAGATGGTCCTGGGGGCAACTGTACCTACTTCGGGCTCCTCTACGAAGCCAGCTGGACTTACGAGGCCCGATGTGCTTCTCGGCCGCAGGGCTCACGCAGGGCACTGAGAAGCGGAGAGGGGCTGAAGTTACGAGAGCCTAGGGGCCTAGACCCTGCTCTGTAACACCCTGAACCCTTCACTGAAAAAGCGACCTTTTTCTAAAAAAAGCCTGCCAAAAGAACCCAAAACCCCAACCCTAGGCACTTAGAAGGCCCGCCCCTCTGCACCGCGCAGAGAGAGGTTACATTCAACAACAACGTGGGCGACGTTCCGGAGACCAAGCCGACGGGCTTCGACAACTGTGCCTCGATCCATCTACATGGGTGGTTGTCAAAATTATGATCCCTTTTTGGGGTCCCTATTGTAATATGCCACCTCTAATTTAGGGTACGGATAAAAGCACCGTAATTTTGACAACCGCCCACATGGGTCCTAAGCCGGAATACAGAGGTTGAGGGGTTTGGGGTTCAGTGGAGCCCTGAACCCGGCACCGTATTTCGGAGAAACTAGGTTTCGATCAGCACAGAGCCTCAACCCCTGCATGCTTGCAGGGTAAGTGCGTTCCTCCTCAGCCAGGATGCCCTCTAGTTGTGAAAGGAAGAATATATCGTTACATCTTACAATGCAAAGGGATATCTGAAAATTTTCTGTTTCTCGTCCTGAGTATGATGATCCGCAGGAGATGGCAGCTGCCGAGAACCAATAATACAACACAGTATGATAGACTGTATATTCTAGCAGGAGATAAGATAATATAATGTGATACTATAATGTGGTATCTTCATCGATAATAGTTAGTATTTTGCATCCACTGGACGTGTCTCTTAATATTCTCAGTGCCTGGCTTCGCACTCAGGTGAGCCGGAGGTCGCGAACTCAGTGACTTCCATGCACCCTGCAGAAGTTTTGTGCCGGGAGAGCCTTCGCTGCTTGTTACCAGCTGCTAATGTAAGATAATATAGCGTAGAATAATTTACCATAGTGTATTATAGTTTAGTATATTCTACTAGATACTGGTGTTGCTCCATGACAATGTCAGTGTGCGAAAGTGCTCGTTGTGTGAGTTTTCACTTCACGAAGTGTTCGAATGGCTTCCCTGACGAGTGAAATGCAGGTGGACGACCACCGTGGTCGCTATTGGATCGTTTTCGAGCTCACAAGGCACTTTGTCTCTGAAAGTCTCTTTGCGGCCGAGCCGCAATCCGACTCGTGCAGTACAGGCACCTAAGCCCTAAGCCAAGTCCGAGATCCAAACTAGCCAGGGCCACGCCGCACTCGCCGCCTCCAAGCGGTCTCTACCCCGGAGGCGCGGATGGAAAGCTGCACAGCTGGCAAGCGCTTAAAGACTGTGCAGGTAGCCTTGACCCGAAACCCAACTTAGGACTTTGAATTCGACTGGTAGAGATTGTAAGACAAAGCGGCGGCCCTCGAGCCGGAGTGCTTTCCTGACATAGACTCACGTCTCTTGAGCCGGCAGGCCGTGGAGTGCTTGCGCGAGTCTCTCGGCGGCGAAGCTACTCTTAGTTTCTGTCTTCACCAGAGCTGTGACTTGCGTGAGGGATGCTTATGGTGTAGATTTTTGAGAGCTGTGTACAACGAAGGTCTGGAACATGTGTCCAGTTGGCAGCAGTTTCAACACGGACTGCAACACTTTCGAGCCTCCCGGCAGCAGCTATTTAGATTCTTCCAAGTCAAGCCTGCCACTCCTTGCTCTGCGATGGCTTGTCCTGCAAGTTGACATGACTGAGTCACTTCGGGCAAGCTTTGCAAGCGAGCCTGAATCCGGAGTACAGAGCGCAGCCACTCGGCCGGCAGATGAGGAGTTTCTTGCGGCGTACCGGTGAGCCCAGCAAACCCTAACCGCTCAGCCACTGTTGTTGATCCTGCAGTGGCGATCGGCTGCAGTGACTATAGTGTGCAAACCTGCATCATGTTAAAGCAAATGCAGAGGAGCAGATGCACCGCTGAGCCACCAAGCCCAAGGTGTGCAGTATGAGGGCATGTCGGTAGGGTGCGAGGAGTCCAGCCCGACATAGCTCTCAACCCTCCAAAAAGGAGGCATTCCGGCTACGATCCCGAACTCCAGAGAACCCGACAGAGGCGTCCCATGATGGAAACGATCCGCACAGACGTCGTGCGGGGTCCCTTCGGCCTCTTGAACGCATAAGTTGTTGTGTAGTGCACGTGTGCACGGAGTGACATGTACGAGCGGCAACAGCAGACAACCGCAGCTGTTGCCCGCTCGAGGTTCTTTCAAGCTTTTCAGGATAGCCGCCCGCTCGCGCCGCAATGTCCTCGAGGTCCCCGACTACAAGTGCGGCCGCGGCTGATGGTGCCGCTGCACCGGCCACAACAGTGGAGCAGTTCCGCAACGCCATGGCGGTCTTTGAGACCTTTCCTCTCCTGGACGACGACGACTTGCGTGTTCTGCTCCGGAGCCTGGGTTCGGTGCAGCTCCGCCGAGTGCTCGGCATCGGGCACAATGTGCTCATGGGCACTGATGCCCACTACGCGGCCAGGATCTCGGCTCGCGACCGCACGCTCGAGCTGGCCCAGCAGCAGATGCTGACGCAGGGGACTACGCCTTCGCCGATGCCCGGACCGCTGCTCAAGAGCATGGGTAAGGCCCAGAGCCCTCCGCTCAAGGCCATGCCCGCCAAGCCGTCGAGCAACAGCCCGCCACCGAGCTCTTCAACGTCACCACCGAAGCAGCCGACGGGGACGGAGCAGCCGAAGACGAAGGCCTCCAGCGGAGCCAAGTGCGTCCCGGCTATGACAACGCCCAAGAAGGCGACTACCCAGGACCCGCCCGCCTCGCCGGCCAAAGCAAAGGCTGCCTCCGCAGCTCCGATCGCGACGCCGGCCAAGGCTGTGGTTCAGCAAAAGCGCCCGCCGCAACGACCCAGCGAATACGACAGCACCTTGGCGGCAGTCTTCACCCAGCCGTACGTGGACACAGTGCCACAAGACTTGGAACTTATGGCACCACCACCTTCGGCCTCGCCTTCGCCCGCTCCGCCTTTGCCGCCGCCCAGCTCACCACCGCCGGAAGTTTTCTTCGATGAGCTGGCGCCCGACCTTGAGGACTTCCTTCAGGCTACGGCGGCTGCCTCGCAGCCAGTATCCACCTCTGACGTCGAGGACGCCACGCCCGAGGACCCGGTGGAGCAGGACGACGACGGAGGCCAGGACGACGGGGACGACCAGGATGATGACGATGACCAGCCCAGGGTCATCTCACGCAGGCTGCTGTGCGTGTCGCCCGCTCAGCCCGACCCGCCCTCCACGGCAGGAGCCACGACAGCAACAGGGGCCAACGCCACAGCGGAGGACACCGACGAGGACGATGGGGCGCCCGTACCGAGTCAGCCGACTCCGGTGCCCGACCCGCCGGTGGCGAAGGCGTCCTTTCCTTCGCCCGCCGAGGTGTCCCGAGACCAGGCTCGCATCGCTCGCCGCCGCGATCGTGAAGAGCGGCTGCGCGCTTGGGAAGGGTGGCCTGAGCCATGCGACTTGCTGACGGGCGAGACCAACGTCGTTTGGAACTTGCCACCGGGCGTCCCAGCACAGCCTCCACCCGGCAAATACGCCGACCACCGCGTGGAGGGCTACTGCAACCTGGGCTGCGAGACGCGCAAGGCCGACCGCACGCCAGTTTGTCAGGGCCGGTGCTTTCGTCCCATCATCCGAACGCGATCTGGGACGGCACACGGCAATCATTTTTGCGGTCCATGCGAGCGCGCTCGCTCCGCAGGAAGGCGCTGAAGAGCGGGCCTTCTGATTCTTCCATGGCGACCGGCGGTCACACAGCAATCACCGCCTCGCCTCGCAACCCCCCTGCGCCGCCCGCGCCGCAAAAAGAAGGGGTCCGAGCTTCTGCGACGAGCCCGCTCCCCCCGCCCGAACCACAGGAGTGAGTGAGTGCTGCTCCTCCCCTCTTGCATTAGGTCTTTCCTTTCTCTGACTCTCTTCTCTTCCGAAGCCAGCTGACAGGAGTGCCTCCTCTCTTGCATTAGGTCTCCGCTCGCGTTGACTCTCTCCCTCGAGTGCTTGCAAGGGACGTTGTTTGCGAGGGCATGCGCAGTCTGCACTTTCATGTCGTGACTCGTGTTCGGTTCGCTTCGCTCGCCGTGACAGTCTTGAGTGCTTGCCCTTTCCCCCACCCGACGCCCCGCAGCTCGAACCTGTCAGGTCACATCACTTCATGCACGAGAAGCTGGACGCCCGCACTGCGCAGCCGTTCTCTTCAAGGCTCAGGTTGCTTTGCTCTTACGCTGTGCACGCGCGCGCACGCCACGCCATGTCGGCTTTCGACTACCACTCGTTCGTGGACTTCATGCAAGCAGCGGTTTCGGCCGGATTGTCGCCGCAAACCATCGACAAGATGAGCGAGCTGGGGTTCGAAAGCATACATGATGCGGCACTCCGCGCGAAGCACGTCGACCATCGACTCGCCGGTGAGATCGAGGTCATGTTGGTCATGTCGGGGTACAAAGACCACATGGAAGCCAGCCAAGGGAGCGCCCCGCCCCGCGGACCCGCACCGCGCTTCGACCAGCCTGCTCCGAGAACCTCGGCTGGTGGCATGTTGAACAAGGCCTTGGCAGCCGCCGACCCGCTCAACTCGGAGGACGCCTTGCGAGACTTTCGGGACAATGTGTACGCCCGCTCCGCGCGGGCCCCGAATGACGCTCGCTGGGTCACATGGTGCAAAATTTGCGCGGCCTGGGGAATCAGCCCCGTGCCTCTGACCGCCGACACCATCGAGAAGGTCGGCACGAGTTTTCGCAGCGGGGGATACCGCAGCTCCGCTCAGTATTTCTCTCGGGCTCGCAAGGAGCACATACATGTCACGGGCCAAGCTGTCCCCCCGCCCGTGGAACTGGCGATACGCGACGCCATCAGGTCCATTGAGCGAGGCATGGGCACCAACTCCCCCAAGGACGCCTTTCGCCTCGACTCCCTCGACATCTGCATTGACCTGCTCGAGGAAAGGCTCCGCTTTCACCATGCCATGGTGGTCCTGGGATCCTGGTTTCTTTGCCGCGAGATCGAGCTCTCCGCGCTCCGGGTCAAGCACATGACTCTCGACTCCGAAAGAAAGCAAGTATGCCTCACCCTGTCCGCGAGCAAGAACGACACCGTGGGGTCAGTGGTGCAGCGACGACACTCGTGCTACTGCGGCACCATCCCGGAGACGATCTGCCCCTATCACGCGGCGCTCCGCATCGCCGACCAGTGCTCTTCCGACTCCGAGGATTTTATTTTCGCAGCCGACACTGGTGAGCCCATGACGAAGGCACAGACGATCGAGGCGATCCACGCAGTTCTCACCGCGGCCGACGTGCCACTGACCAGAGCCGGAGCTCCCCTCGAGCCCGAGGTGAACAGGTTCGGGGGACATTGTCTTCGAGTCTCGGGCGCCCAACACCTGTGTCGCATGAGGATACCGGTGAGCACGATCATGTTGCTCGGGAGATGGGGGAGCCGCGCGATCGAGCGCTACGTCCAGGACACCGAACTCGAGGACGCCCTCTACGGCATCGCGGCCGCCGGCCTTCCGACCTTGCCGCCTGGGCCTGCAGCCCTCAAGGACAAGGCGCACGACTCCCCTCCCTGGACCCTCGTGCACAACCTGGAGGAGTCCGAGCCAGCGCCTCCGCCTCGACCGACGAAGAAAGCTCGCTCAACAAGGACAGACGCAGAGGACAAAGAGGCCGTGGCAGCAATGATCGGATCGCTTGACGACATAGCCGCACGCCTCGAGTTGATCCAGGACAGGCCGGACCTGGTTTGCAAGCGCAAGGCACACATGAGGGACCCCGAGGAGTCCTCACGACCGCCAGCGAAATGGCGCGCTCGCTGCGGCTAGCCGTACGGGTACTCCAACTTCACCCGGGCACATGACGATGGTTCTCAGAACCTGTGCCTCAAGTGCTTCCCCGAGGCAGGGGCAGAGAGTCGCAAGAAGGCGGCCGGACAGCAGCAGTCCGACACGGAGTCCACTGACAGCTATGACTCCTCTTCTAGCTGAGCGATCTAACCCGCAGCCTCGCTGCGCCCCGCCCGAGAAAACAGACCGAGAGCCTTGAAAGAGACGTGACAAGGCATCGACTACAGTTTCGCACCGCCCCGCTGCAGTTTTTCCTTTTAAGCATAGCCCCAGCTCTCGCGCACAGGTTGTCATGGATACCGGCCTGCGAGCACTTCTCCTGGACGCTGGCGCGTCAGACGACCTGATCGCCTACGTCGCGACCAAAGGCATCCTCTCCACCGCGATCTTCGCCGAGATGGGCGAGGACGTGAAGGAGTTCGATCAAGCTATGGTACAGCCGCTCGCCTCGCCATTCAAGCTCCAGGACGGCAAGGTGTTTGAAGTGAGTGACGCTGAGCTGCCAGTGGCTCGCGCAAGGCTACGCCACGCCTGGCGAAAGGCTCGCGAGAAGTCAGCACCGAACGCCGCGAGCAGCTCCCCGGCCACGACCGCGGCCGCAGCCACCTCGACTTCCAAGACGAAGGAGCTGCCGCCAGGGTACTGGCAGCAACAGATACACAAGTATGAAGCCGTGCTCATACATGGAGTTCCTCGCAAGTTCCCCGAGATGACTCTCTTAGGAGCCGAGGCCGTGATCGCGAAGCTCCTCAACGACGCCAAGAACCTCGCTCACAACGCGATCCCCTTGGAAGAGATCGTGCAGCACAGGCACTTCACTGCGGCGCTCCTCCCCAACACCCTAAGCTCAGCTCGCAAACGGGCCCGGTCACAGGAGCAGGTCACCACTTTGGTCGTGAACGCCGACCTTCAGCTCGAGACCGAACCCGAGACGCCTTGGAAGCCGAAGAGCCAGGTAGCCATTCTCGACTGCCTCGAGGCCATTCGCGTCGCCCTGATCTTCATCGAGTACGCCCCGGAGAGCGACATCGACGAGTATTTTTCATGGTGGCAGCGGCTGGTGCGCAGCCGCCCCAACAAGATCGACCAGCTCAAGATTCACTGGGAGAATACATCGTGGCGCATCGCTCTCGCGCTGCGCAAGAAGCAGCCTTTCAGGGACATCGCGCACGAGATCATGGCCGACAGCCAGCTTCTCCAAGAGGCCATGAGCACAGAAGTTCAGCCAGATCGCCCCGCACGTGCCCCAAGGAACACCGAGACCCCTTGGCATGACATCCCTCGTGGAGGCAGAGGTCGAGGCAAGGGTCGAAACGGCAAAGGCCAGCAGCGTTGGTGGGAGCGCCCGGAAGGCAAAGGGAATGGCAAGGGTGGCGGAAAGCATCGCTACCAACCTCAATACGATCGCCAGTGGAACCACTACCAAGGCCGCGGTCGCCAACATGAGGAAGATCGCCCACACTGGCAAGGTCACGGCAAAGGTCGCCAACAAGACGACGACAGATCGCAATGGCGCCAGACGGATTGGCGACAGCAGCACGACGGCCGCAAGCAATGGCAGCAGCAGGAATAGGGACAGCACGGGCCATCCCACAGGGGTGGACCCGACCCACCGCAAAGCGAAGACAGTCAAGTTTTCGCTCGCTCGAGGTCGCCATTGCCCCGCTCCCGAAGATCTCCCGACGACGACAAACAGAAGCCACCCCAGTCAGTGACGCTCCGCAGCAAGGCCGAGACCATCCGCATCAAGAACGGCGATCGCTCGCCCGACATCGTCATGCTCAGCTTCTTCGACGGCCTCGGCACCGCTTGTTTGATCTGCGACGAGTACTGCAGCAGCAATGGTCTCCAGTGGCGTGGTGCATCTTGGGAGATCGACCCCAACCTGAGGAAGCTGTTACACGACCACTTCCCTGAAGTGGTGCAACGTGGCGACTTCGACCAAGAGACGCCCGAGTCTTTGCACGACTTGGTTCAGGAGCTGGACCCCGCAGGACGAGCGACTGTGGTCATAGCGGGAGGCCCTCCGTGTCATGACTTTTCACGCATTCGCTCAGATGCGCCTGGTCACCAAGGTACGGAGGGATCCAAGTTCGCTCGATTCGCCCAGCTCGTGGTGGATTTGGAAAAGAGATGGCAAAGACCCCGCGCCGTCGTCATGGTGGAGAACGTCATCCCACAGAATAGAGCGGATATGCGCAAGATCGAGAAGTCCCTCGACTCGCCAGCCGTGGTCCATGACGCCGCAGACTTCGGCACCATATCCCGACCAAGAGTCTGGTGGTGCAGGGTGCCATGGCAGGAAATCGCCCATCGACCCGATTGTCCTCTTCGCATTCGGTGGACAACTATGCAGGGCATCCCACGCGTGCACTTCGACCTCGTCAAGGACGACCCGCACGCTTTCAAGACCGAAGGACTTTCTTTGCCGAGGTGCCTGGTCGAGGAGGGCAAGCCGCTCCCGTGTCTCACAACACCTTCCGACGACCCACAAGGACGCCCCGCTCCACGCAGCTGTAAGGGCAAGATCAGCAGTGAAGCAAATCAACGATGGCGTGCCGATCGACAACGATTCGCTCCTTGGCATTACGAAGCAGGCGTCATGATGGCGGACAGTCAAGGCCGCTTCGTGATTCCTCCACCATCGGTGAAGGAGCAATGGCATCACTTGCCACAAGGTTGGACCAGCAAGCTCTCCGAGCACGAGCGCCACAAAGCGCTAGCCAATGGCTGGCACGCCGGAGCCGCGCGCCTGATCTTCATCATGGCCATGTTTGCCGCGACGCCCGCAAAGGCGGACAAGGAGCTCAACCCGCTAGGAGGAACCGCGCTCGACATAGCAGCTGGTTTGTGGCAAAGTCGCCCGCCACTCCTAGGCCCGGGACCTGGCGACTACGACTCATTCGACCTCTCCTACCTGCAGGACCCCGCGGAGCACTGGAGCTTGTCACGACACATGCCCCATCCGGATCACCGCGACGCACTCATGGAGCCCGGTTTGCAACAGTGGATTCGCATTTGGTTCCGGATGCGTGCCCACTTGGCAGAACTACGCCTCGCAGTCGTGGAACAGGTCGAAGAGATGGTTGTGGACATGGAAGACGAGACCAGGTCTTGGTACCAGAGCCTCCGCCCGCACGTACAGAAGGCCTACAGGAGCACCACAGGAGTGTGCACCTTGCAGCTGCCCGCGCTCCGCAGAATCTGTGAACTTTTTGGATGGCAGGACCTCGGCATCTTCGACGAGCTCACACATGGTTTTCGACTTCTAGGACCTCTTGCTCCAGGACTTGGTTGGAAACGACGCAACGACGACCGCTACGCCAACCCTCTGGACCTCGCGGAGTTCATGGTCAAGAACAAGCAGTACGTCGTCGACAAGCTTCGTCGATGCCGCGTCGACCCCTGCTGGAAGCAGATGGCAGACGAGATAGCAGCCGATGTGTCACTCGGGCGCATGGAAGGCCCGTTCACCAGCCCTTCGGACTGGCCCAAAAGTGCAGTGCCGCTCGCATCGCACGAGCACACAAGCAAGCTGCTCGAGGGCCCAGGCGAACACCAGCCGACGTGCTTCGCGTTCGCAGTCCACCAGGTCGGGTCCGATGGCCGCCCCAAAGTACGCCGCGCCGAAGACTGGAGACGTTCTTTCGCTAACGCAACGGTCGCAGCAGAGGACTCCCCGCCGTACCACGACGTCAACTCCTACGTGCAGCTGGTCCGCGCCATCAAGGAGATCGACCCGCAGGCCGAGATCCTCATATGGGGCCTTGATCACGAGTCGGCCTACAGACAGCTCCCAGCGCTCGACCCGTCACACACCTACGTGGTTCTCGCGACGCCCGAAGGAGTCACTCTCTGGCGCCATACAGTTCTAATGTTTGGGTCAGTGGCGAGTGTGTGGTCCTATTGCAGAATTGCGGACCTCATGGGTTGGTTATGCCGCGCATGCATTTTCACGCCCGCGCTACACTTCGTCGATGATTTCGGCAGCGCAGAGGTCACCACGCTCGCCAACTCGTCCTTCGACGCTTCGCGTCGACTTTGCAAAGCATTGGGTTTTTCTTTTAAGCAGTCTAAGGAGCAACCGCCGGCCCCGCGACAGGTCATCCAAGGAGTCGACATTCTTGTGTCCCACGAGTCAGTCACAGTGCAGGGCACAGATGAGCGGAGACAGAGGCTCGACGAAGCGCTCGCGGACGTGCTCACTCAGGACCGCTTGCGACCCCACGAAGCAGCCAGCCTCGCGGGGAAACTGCAGTTTTACTGTCAGTCACTTCAAGGTCGCTCGCACGCTGCAGCTCTTCGGCCCCTGTTTCGCAGAGCTCGACTCACAGGCGCTGGTCGTCATCATCGCGATTGGAGACTCGATGGACCGCTTCGCCACGGGATCGGACTACTACGCTGGAGCCTGCGGCACGCAACGCCCAAGGTCTTTCCTTTCGACAAAGAGGCGCACTCGGTCCTCTACGCCGACGCGTTCTTCAACCTCTTCGACAAAGACTGGAAGCCCTCCGACGAGGACATTCCCAACTGGGGACGAACACCCCCGGAGACACTCCGCAACGGATGGGGCTTCGTGGTGACCGTGCAAGGGAAGACCCACTTCGCTCACGGCAGAGTACCGTACTGGTTCGTGCGAGCATTCACGAGTCGCCGGGCATACATATACATGCTCGAGATCGTGGCTCAGATCTTGCCTCTGTTCGCCATGGAGGACCAGCTCGACCGACACGTCATGCTTTTCGTGGACAACGAACCCGCACGCCACGCTCTCACTCGAGGCTTTGGCAAGGACGAGTCGATCAACTGCTTGCTACAACATGCATGGCGCTTCTTGGAGGCAAAATCCTTTCGCCCAGCATGGCAGCGTGTCACGTCGTCAGCCAACGTCAGCGACTCCGTTAGCCGCGGTGACCTTCGCCACGCTCGAGCCGAAGGTTGGATCGAACTGGAACGAGATTGGGACAGTCTTTTCGAAGAGCTTCTGACGGGCTCTGAGAGGTTTAGGGCTACCGGTGTGCTGTAATGGTGCAGGCGGCACACCTATGCTGATACGCAACGATTCGCTCCGATCGATGTCTGAGATGTTTCGATCTGGAATGCGATTTCGTTTGCACTTCGCCGCCTGCCGCTACGCTTCCAAAAGTGTTTCAGTCTTGCGTGATAGCGAGATGTCGTGTAGTGCACGTGTGCACGGAGTGACATGTACGAGCGGCAACAGCAGACAACCGCAGCTGTTGCCCGCTCGAGGTTCTTTCAAGCTTTTCAGCCCGCCCGCACCACCCTGTATTTATTCTTACATATTGGAGTGGTGGGGTGATACGCAACGATTCGCTCCGATCGATGTCTGAGATGTTTCGATCTGGAATGCGATTTCGTTTGCACTTCGCCGCCTGCCGCTACGCTTCCAAAAGTGTTTCAGTCTTGCGTGATAGCGAGATGTCGCTATTGTTGTTGATGGTGCTTGCCACCAAGAGCAACTCACTATGTCATGCTGCGAAACACCACATTGGGATAGGTTTGATGCCAAAGAAGTACATGGATCGTCAGACTGGCAGAAATCTTCGATGCTCCTTTTGGTTGACAGTTGAAAAGAGGTACAAGTGCTGCTGTACAAGCACGCAGAGACAGCACAACCCGGAGGTACTTGCGAAGCGAGCTTAACAACTTTAACCCGGGTTGACCACAGGATGTAGATGCCTCTTTGCCATTGATGATGCTCCTCTGCTTGCTGTAGATTCTCTTATACTGTACGGGACTGGATAATCAGTGAAGGCCCCTACACCAGAGGGCCCTTCTGGCGTCGTACCGCCCAAAAGCCGAATGAGGAATGGAGGACGTGCGTTACGCAGACCCTGCCGACATGAAGGCGGTGGATCCCGAGGACGGGGCGGAACCGAGTCATTCAAAACGGAAGGTCTAGGGTTTGTAGTCGAGGGGTTTAAGGCTGTGGGATCCCGAGTGGTCCATGTCGTGACGCAGGCCTCGGAGCCCACGTCTAGAACCAAAAGCCCGCAATTTTCGAGCCATCGAATCAGAGCCCGCATCGAACAGAAAGCCCGTGCACATTTCCCCGCCGAGCTCCCTGCCAAAACTCGGAAACCCATCTACATTCCTGAGCCCCGGCATCTCAACGCGAGGACATAGCAAAGCCAAGATCCAAACTCTCGACAGCCGAACCTCCAAACTCTGCCATGGCCAAAGTGCCGGATAACGGGACACAAAGCTGGGCCCACCACCCCTCCCCTTAACCATGGAACCTTGGAATCCCTGGAAGGCACCCTTCAAGACTGCCGCAGAGGCCACCGGCAAGCATGGCTCCTCAGCTCTGGGTCGTAGTGGCTTCTTTGTGCTACCTGTAGTAGTACTAGTAGTAGTACTACTACTACTAGTGGTGGTAGTAGTAGTAGTAGTAGTAGTGGCAAGGCTTTGCTTCTGGGGGTTGAGGACAGGTGATGTGTCGGGATTGACCCCCCTTCGAACTCAGAGATGTTGTACAGGGCAATGGTCTCTGCACGTTGTGGAGCCTCATGGACGGCGGCAGGTTAGAGGCCCTGCATGCTCTGTAAGTGTACGCTTCGTGCTAGAAAAACTTGGGTTCTGAAGCCTAAGCCGAGGCTTCGTGGAGGAGATCATGGGATTTTTTGTCGCTCCGTTCGATGGCCACTACTCCTTCCTGACATGGGGAGATGTGCGGCAGGAGTGCTCAGGGTTTAGGGACCCGGGTTTGACATCGCAGCTCTGTAGACAGAGTGCAAACTTGTGCACTGTCTATGAACTTGGAAGGATATTTGGCTGAGTACGTCGACTGACCCTGCGGACACGATCAAGGTTGCTGAACGGATCGACAGCCAGGGGTGCAGGACAGCAGCCAGCTTGTTGGTGTGAGTGGTCCTTCGTTTCCGCTGCTTTCTGATTGTTCGCTTAGACTCTGCGGCCGGGCACAGCTGAGCAGGACGGGTAACAACCGGCGCCGCAACGTGTACCTGGGGTGCAGCATGTTCTACAACAAGAGAGGCCACACCTCTCCCGGGCACGTGCCCTGGCTAAGAGTGCCAGAGCTTCGCGCATAAAGCGAACCGCAAACATGCTTCAGGCAACGGGGTTCCTGCAGCTTCGTTCCGACTTCGTGCTTCTTGTGTGGGGATGGTCAGCCAGGTTTTGTCCGTAGGGTTCTGAGTACTTCCCTATCCAAGTATACTACAACACACCAAAAGCCTCTTCCAGTTCTTGCGACCCCTACATCGAGGTTCAGGGCTTCCGGTTTCAAAGCACTTGAAAAGGTGCACCTCAGCCCTGCGCAGGACCTCCCAGCCTCTAGAATCGGATTTCAAGCCATCACATGAAACCCTGTGCCTCACGCGCAAAAGCCAAAACCCGAAACTCTAAACCATGCACCCCAGATCGAGACCCTTGACACCCAAACTAAAGCAACACCTCAAAGCCAGAAAGCCGAGGGACATATTGGAACTGAGCTGAAGGACGAATGGGAGTTCTCGGCCTAAGTTCCGGATGTTTGCGCCCTATTCCAGCTTCGGGGTTTGAAGGCCTCGGATCTCGCAGGGGGTCCATGAAGGCGGGGCATCAAGCCTGATGAAGGCCATGAAGAATTGAAGAAAGACAGTATGTGCCGAGCCGCTCGAAAGCGCGACCCTCGCTTGGAAGAGGCCCTTCCAAGCAAGATGGAGGGCTGACTGCGAGATGTGAAGGGTTCCCAAACCCATGCCAGATCTAAACTTGAGCTGTCATCCTGTTCGTCGAGGGTTTTCCTGATGCGAAAGCCGGCTTCGAGGTGGGGGTTTCTGAAGGAACGGGGACGCACCCGGGCCTCGGCGAAGCGTGGAGGGTGTTGAGGAGATACAACTGCCAATCTCAGAACGTTCCGATGCCCCGGATAAAGAGCTACACTTGAGAATAATCTGTATGTGTTGCCCCCGGAAGCCTGCAGGACAGCTACGGTTTCGCTGGGAACCCAACGCTGGGCTTCCGCACACCCACAGAGGTGACGGTGCCGCTGAAGAAAGGCACCCTTGCATTGCGTGGAGTTGGGGTTTAGCTCGCACAAGCATGCTTCCCAACCAGGAATCCAAGCTTCAAACCATACCCCCTCATTTCCAACCCGAAGCCGACCCGGATCTTGGGAGGAGAGCGGCGCTTCTTCGTGAAGAGAACGTCTTTGGCCGAAGCCTACCGGAACAGCTTTGATATTCGTCGCCGGCGCCCCTTGCCTGCCGAGGAGATGACTCCCAACACTCTTGATGCTACTACTGTTGTGCTGCTGCTGCTGCACGTCGATGCCGCTTGCTTCTATTACTACTACTGCTACTACTGCTTCCACTTACTACTGCTACTACTGCGGCTGCTGCTGCTAGTGCTCCTACTGCTACTACTGCTACTGCTGCTACTACTGCTACTACTGCTACTACTGCTACTACTGCTACTACTGTTACTACTGCTGCTGCTGCTGCTACTGCTGCTACTGCTGCTGCCGCTGCTACGACGACTACCACCGCTCCTCCTCCTCCGCCTCCGCCTCCGCCTCCGCCTCCGCCTCCGCCTCCGCCTCCGCCTCCGCCTCCGCCTCCTCCTCCTCCTCCTCCTCCTCCTCCTCCTCCTCCTCCCCCTACTACGATTACGATTACGATTACGATTAAGACGACGACAACAACAACTACTGCTACTACTACGAATACGACTAACGGCTACTACGGCGACGACGACCACTACCACCGCCACCACCACCGCCACCGCCACCACCGCCACCACCACTTTTACGACGACTAGCCCTGCCACTACTGCTGCCACTGCCACTACCACTACCACCACCATCACCGTCACCGTCATCATCACAATCACCGTCACCATCAGCATCGCCATCACCACCATCATCATCATCATCATCATCATCATCACCATCATCATCATCCTCATCATCATCACCATCATCATCATCATCATCGCCACCGTCGTGCATACGACCGACAGTGTGGGTAATCCTGCTCACTATCATCGCACACTCGTCAGGCAGTGTTTGGACGACTCATTCGTTTAGTGCTTAAGTGCTCTGGGGATAGAAGAGCTGGGGGTTGTGGACTAGATGAAGCAGGTTGGTAGTCATACGTGCTGAAATTACCAACATGTCTATTTATAACTCTAACGCGAAAGGCTAGCTGCATGGGTGGAGCTCGAAGCTGAGATCATGAAGACTTCTCGATCACTATCATTGTCATCATCCTTTTCATGGCTATCAGTACGATTCCTCCCAGGAGTTTCCAAAATCTCAGGGTCCCTTGTACGCACTCTGGGAGTTAATCTGATCTAAGGCGAGTTTTGTTCCAACTCTCCGAGTTTCAGGTCGCTTCCGCACCTACACCGGCCTGCGCATCCACCAGCCAGATCTGAGCAGCCTGACGCCGTCGCAGCAGGAGCTCCGAGCTGAAGCCGAAAAGCCCCGAGGCTCCAACTTTTAGATTCCCGAAGCCCCCAACCCTGGAGCCCTAGGACGAAGCTCTTAACGTTCGAGGAAAGCCCCGAAGCTCGAGTTCAGGACGGCTAAAAGCTTCCTCGAGCTTGTAGTTTGAGGGAACGTTCGAAGCCCAGAGCACACCACTGGGTAAGCCTAAGCTTGACGCCTTGCAGGGCTGCAGAAGGACTGAATAAAAGGGTTGAAAAAGGAGACATGGAGCTATCAGTGACCTATCCCAGCTCGCAGGAGCTTCTAGCCCAGCGCAAAAGCTGGCCAGAGCCGGGAGCCCGGTTGGGGAAGTGGCAAGAAGGGGCCGGTGAAGGAATTCGGCTTTGTTTCTTGTTTTTCTCATGTGGTTTCCGGGCTTCCGTACATTAAGATCCTGATCTACGACGTACGTGTCAGGGCCAAAGGGCACCGCTCTACCATGAGCTGGCGTCCGCTCCCAGCCTGCCTCGAAAAAATCAAAGACAGCAACCAAGGCATGGAAACCCCAAGAGCCCAAAGAGTGCAGCGTTAAGGATGGTGCTCCTGAAGAGATTCATCTCAAAGACGGGCGGACAGTGGCGCATTGGCCTGCGGGAAGCTCCAGACGATGAACCCACGTCGTCTGGCATGATAACTTGGTTAGCTGTTAGCACATACAAACTACATTATACATCTAAATTTGTTCGCAGGTATGTTTTCTTCCGCAGCAGGCAGTGTCCATTCTCCACGGGGGTTGGGTCGTGTATATGCATACATATGCATATACATACATATATATATATATATAACGTATTTGTGTGTGTGTGTGTGCGTGCGTGCATCTGATGTACGTGTGTAAGTATACGTGCCTATCTATCTATCTATCTATCCCTGTCGGTCTGTCTGTCTGTCTTTCTGTCTGTCTCTTTGCCCATCTAATTGCATCTGTCTATCTATCTACCTACCTATCCATCGATCTACCTATCTATCTACCTTATCCATCTATCTACTTATATGTCTATCTATCAATCGGTTTATAGATCGATCTGTCGATCTGTCGATCTGTCGATCGATGCATTTGTCCATTCAAACATCCATGCATGCATCCATTCATCCATCCATCCGTTCGTTCGTGACTCTATCCATCTATCATCTGTCTATCTAACCTATCCTATCTAACCTATCTAACCTATCTAACCTATCTAACCTATCTAACCTATCTAACCTATCTAACCTATCCGTCCATCCGTCCGTCCATCCATCCATCCACCTACCTGTTTCTCTATCTATCAGTGAATTTCCTATCGGTCTGTCCATCTATCCATCGATCTATCTATCGATCCATCGATTGATCTATCTGTTCTATCTATGTACCTATCTATCTGTCTATCTATCTATCTGTATGTGGTTAGAGAGAAAGCTGGCTGGCTCGGTTGGGTAGGTAGGTAGGCAGGTAGATAGACAGATAGACAGATGGATGGATAGATAGGTGATAGATCGAAGTGTGTGTGTGTGTGTGCGTTCAAGGACATATCTTTGAATCTCATCGCTTAGTGGCTCTTGGAGTTAAAGGATGTTTGGCTCCGACTTTGGGAGGCGCACACGGAGGTAAGGTGGCGATTATGGTCTCGGCTTTGCTGTCACTCCCTCTCTTTTGAACTGTCTTGGATCCGGCCTTGGGGCTTAGGGTTAAGGGTTGAGGAAAGCTCCTGCCTGCAATCTGGTCATGCACGACGCATGTTCCAGTTGTTTGCACTCGTTTGCCAGGTACACGAATTGGATCCGCTGGAACTTCAATGATTTTCATGACCCGCGCTCAGCCTCCGCTCGTGCATCCACGAGCGATTTCTATTGAGAGGACGATAAGCTTGTAAGCTTGTGCTACTTGCTGCGTGCTGGATACTCCCGCGACGATTCTGTGACCTTCCGTCTGAGACATGCCGTCGCAAATCTTGGACCATGTCTTGTTGCCAGCATCGGTCGGGTCAGCTGAACCCTAGGTGAATCTACAGCCTTGCCTCCCAGTGTCGCAGCCGATGCTGAGGTGGTCGAAGAGCTGAACCGGGTGGTGATGCCAAGTGGCACCCAGGCACATGTCGGAACTCTCGTTGGCTTTCCCTCGGTCCCTCAGCTAGGAAACTTCGTAAGCCTCAACGTTCGCGTTTGGAAAAGTCTGTGCAAAGGATACGAGATTGATCTCGTGATCCCCCGGCCCTACCGCCGTCAACTTTTAGAATAGCTTAGCATCCAATCTGCCAGGTTCACGCAGAGATGTGGTGGATGAACAGCTATGACGGTGGCATGCTCAGTGCAGAGGGCCGCGTCTTTATCAGGGCTGACAGCTTCTTCTTTCGAATGCTCTTGAGGTGGCGAAGAGTCGGTGACCGAGTACATGATCACATTCCTACGTCCTCTTGGAAACCTGCCCCAGCTGCTGATCGAGTGCCCCGAATTCCGACCGAAGCTCACCCTCTGATTCTGGTGGGGTATTGAAGGGTCTCGGTCTCGTCATAATGTGGCACAGCCGCTTTCGTCCAGCGTACTGTAGAAGGAGTGGTAGAGGATTCACATCGGCAAGGCTGTGGAAATCTCAGGTACTTGAAGTACTTCCTGCTAGGGAGGCCACCGTCGGCCAACGAACGATTCAGAGCGAAACTCTGCGATCTTTGCAGATGTTTCAACTTCAGCCCATAAACCTAAGCATAGTAGTACGCTGCAGTAGTAGACGTTAAGCGAGTTTTTCGTAGTCAGAAACTTAGTGGTAGCATGCAGCCGTACGTAACCTCTCATCGGGGGTGTTCCAGGTACGACATCATGCGAAGCCGGGTCGAGGCCGGGTGATTGCGCTGGGGATTTGGGTTGTCAGGGTTTCGGTTTAATGTTTGGGGGTGTAGGGGTTCAGTACCTCAAGTTGAAGCCTTCACCAATCAAGCCGAATACTCTGGTAAGGAGTATCTACCCAGTCTTTGGGTCCCAATATATATTGGGGTTCAATGAGCCTCCATGCTCGGAAGTTTCATGAAGCTGTAGCCTCCAGAGAGCCAAAGGCAAGTTTCTGTTTTTCCTGGGTCGCTTGCAGTTGTGTGCACGAGAAGCAGTGCCCTTACGGGTCGACGGGTCAGAAGACATACATTGCTGGTTTTCGTCCTGCTTTCAGCTCTGAGGTAGAGACGATCATGCACGGGAATGCGGAGGACCTCTTCATTTGGCCACTCTCCGCCAACCTCTTTGAGGCCTCGCAGAGGTTTCGGATGCAGGGATCAGGACCCGGGAAACCCTAAACCCTAAACCCCTAAACCCTAAACCCTAAACCCCTAAACCCCTAAACCCTAAACCCTAAACCCAAGCAGACTCTGGCCTTTGCCAGGCTGCTGTTTCGGAATGTTGTGGACGTTGAAGAAGGAAGCTGACATCAGAATCCAGCAGCCGGCTAGATGTTGGATACTACAAGAAATTCTTGCATTTTATAGCTTAACCTTATAATATATGTATCATTATCATACTACATGCTGTATGATCTACGAGAATTTTATTTTTTGTGTATTCGATTAGGGGAAAATGGCAGGTTCCAGCTTTGGAGCCCTCAGCTACCTTGGCGGCCACCGGGATCCGGGCCACTCTGCAAAGCGTTTATGCGTTCCCTTTTTAAGGGTTCCTGTTAAGGGTTCCTTTTAAGGGTTCCTTTGTGGGTTCCTTTGTGGGTTCCTTTAAGGGTTCCTTTAAGGGTTCCTTTAAGGGTGCCTGTAAGGGTTTCTATAGGGATACCTATTATAGACCCCTATAAGAACCTAACGGGGCCCATTGTAGAAGCCTGTCGTCCCTTTAGACGTGGCTTCAGGGCTGACGTTGCTTGAGGTGTTTCGGGCTCCTGGTGTAGGGTCGGGAATGTCGCAGCAGCTAAGTTTTGCTTCTGGGAGGCTTCTTTGGGACTCCGGTGTCAGGCTTAGGATCCAATATGTTGTGGTTCGTTTGCGCACATGTTTGGGGTCAAGGGGTTTCGCTGCTATGTTGTGTCTGCATGTCTCTCTCCCTCTCTTTCTCTCTGTGTCGCTCACTCCTTTGCCCACTCCCTCCGTCTTTTTTGCAATTGCTCCGGATACACTCGGTGTGGTTGTGTGCACTTGCGATCCGGGGGCTTTCAAGAATTTCGACAGCAAGAGGCATAAACAGATAACGTTGTGCGGAGAACAGCCAAAGCAAGTATAGATACTGAGTCAGATGCTGGGCATATGGACAGGGCATGTGGCGGGACGAGCGCAGTCCTGCCGGTGCCACCATCACCTCGCAACTGCCAGTGCGATTGGCACTGCTGCGACTATGCTGGTTGCAGCTATCAGAAGTAGCAGCGTTACCGGCAGCGCTACCAGTGGGGGCCCGGGAATGCGGCAGGTGTCAGGCACGGGGATGCTGTAAATGCATGCTTCAGGTGACCCTGGCCTTCCTCTTGGCAACCTCAACCTCCGACTTTTCAAGCATCAGAGCCCCTCCCGCCCCTGAGCCGTCAGCTGGCCGAGGCTCAGTACAGCACTCGAGCGGAGCCTGTCCTTCGAAGCTGGGTCGCGCATGGCACTGCTCTTGTTTTTACATAAACCCTAAACTCTAAACTCTAAACCCTAAACCCCTAAACCCTAAACCCTCATTCCCGTAGATCTGAAGCTTTGGCCTTCCGAAGACGGCCCTGGCTTCGAGATGAGACTGCAGGGCAGAAGTCGGAATCCGAAGGTCCCAGGGGCACCGGCTTTCGAAGCGTTCTAAGCCCTCCCTCCCCAGGACAGCTCAGCGATTCCAGCGCAGGGAATGTCTCGGAGGATACAGACTTGGCAGATCCCGAGGAGGGATTCCGCTGCCGTGCTGTTGGGGGAAGTTGGGAGCTCCGGATTTCGAGGACTTTGAATGAGTTTCGAGACCATGCGTACAGTAGAGCCTCGCCGCTGCCTAGCCACCCAGCGATACGAACCCGGGCATTTCGAAACTTGTATGTGCAACTGGCAGCATGGGAGGTGCCCATGCCGTTCCCCTGCACCATCGGTGCCTTCAACGACAGTATGTGCGGAGATTCCATGGGCTGCCAGTTCGAGCCCACCCAATCAGGCCAGTCCGTGATTGGGAGATTTCCGCAATTAAGACGTCTTCACAATGCATGAGCTGAATGTGCACATTTTCATCTCAGGAGCTTCCGTGCATCATCCTGTCGTAGTGCTCGCGCAGAGAGCTTGTCCTCTCATGTTGAGCAAGCAATCCTAGCTTCTCGAGGGGTGACGCACAACGACATCCTGGATCACTACCAGCTCTACGACACTTGGGAGGAATGTCAGCAGCGTTGCTGCCAAGATCAGGACTCAGTCAGCCTGGTTCAGACTGCATGCTCTAAGAGTAGCAGCACCAGAAGTTGCAGTCACACTTGGAGAAGGAAGAGATATGGCATGGCACCTGCTCTCCCTCCTACCACAAATACTGCTGGTGCTGCGGTGACTGATTTGGCCGCTCTGCGGTGCTACTTCTTGGCTGCAAAAAACGACAGCTAAACCTACTACTACTACTGCTGCTGCTGCTGAAACAAGGACTTATACTGGTTACTACGACGACTGCTGCTCCTGCTAGTGCGGTTTGTTCCGCGAATGGTGTGACGGCTGCTGCTGAACGACCGCCGCTATAACCACGAGACCGAGTGCTTGCCGAGATCTTCTCCGCTGAGTCTCCATCCAACAGAACGTATGGCGGCTCGATTGGTATGGCTTCGTCAGCCATGTCATCCCTGTAGATTCTGTCTGGCTTTCATGCGGCCCTGAGCCAACCGGTCGTGACCCAATACCACAGTCAAGCATGGTCTGGACATCGAGAGGTCGCTGTCTGCACGATGACGATGACGATTATGATGATGATGATGCCGGGGAAATGAGGGGCGGGACGATTGTGGCAAAGATGAGCCTGAGAAGGAAGGGGTTAAAAGCCTGAGTATGAAGTGGATGACCATGGGAACGGCGATGGAGGTCGTGATTCCGGGTTGGGCGAAACCGACCCGGTGATGATGATGATGACGACGGCGACGGGGACAATTGACTGTCCGGGAGCAACAGATTTTCTCGAGCTCGTTTCAAGGAGCCTGTCAGGCATGTTATGGCTTCAGTGTTTGTGCATTCGCGAAGAATCGGCAGCGGGCACATGGTCCTGTAGCTTTCGCTAGCTACATGCGCTGTTTCTTTGTGAGATTTTCCGTCTGGATTGTCTGGTTTCCAATCGCAAGCTCTCTTTGCATGCTGTCCAGCAGGACTGTATGGCTGCATCCTATGAGAAGGAGACGAAGGCTTGGCTCCAGAGACGATCCTTTCGCTTCAGGGCTGCGGGTTGTGGGTTCATCTGCAGTTTTTTGCAATCGTTCTCCAAGCGTCCGGAGGCACTACGGCCCCTGACCCGAGGCGTCGAGGTTTCAAGGTTTGAAGTTGCCCTCTGTCTGTCTCTCTCTCCCTTCCTCGCTCTCTCCATCCTTCCCTCCCTCTCACCACCACGTGCAGGACTCCACAGTGACTTTCGGCTCTGCTGGGTCTGAACCCAAAACCCTAAACCCTAAACCCTACACCCCAAACCTGACATTAAAGAAGCCGTGAGACTTTGCCCCGGAGGTCTGCAAGAAGCACACCGAGGCGCAGGACCACACCCTAGTGCGGCGAGCTTAATTTCGGTCCCGGATTTACTGAGTTCTGCTCCTGTGGCTTCGCTGTGCCCAGGAACCGTCAGTTCTCATTCATGATTCTATTGCTGTTTGGGCTGCCTCAAATTCCAAGCTGTGCCAAGGCCCGTCGACACGGTCACGGGTCTGTACGCGGCCATCACCACACGCAGGGCCGCCACCGATGGGTTTGCGGTGGTGCGGGGGCGGCTCAACTTTGCTGGCGCCCAGGCACGCGGCTTCGAGGCTTAGCGATTCAGGAAGTTGAGGGTTGAGTTAGACTTCTTTGCGGGATTCTCGCTCAACGTAAATGTAGATCACCGTGACGTTTTAAAGTGCACCTGTTGTACATTGCATGCAAGAACCCTCATTACCCCAGCCACCATCCATCCGGACTCTCTGGCTGTACTACCCTCGAGTCTCGTGCTGTGATCTGTGCACAGGTTGGCTCCTTCAACGGTCATCGCTTCCCGGCAGAATGGGAAAGCGATTGCTTTAAGAAGCCCCAAACATGATTTCTTAGTCCGGGGCTGTAGACTCGACTGGCAATGGATGCGAAGCCTTCCCAGACCGAGCAGGGCGCATTTGCGAATCGTCAGCTTCCACATCAGCGGATCCTGTTCTTAACAAGCTTGAACCCAATTCCAAATCCCACACACCAGGCTCGGTGACCTTCTGCAAGGCCAAGTGCGCAGAAGACCCGTGCCGGGGCCAGGATTTCATCAGAGTTTTACTCTGCTTTGCCTCAGGGCCCAGGGTCTCGCATTGTTGTGGCGGACGGGCCGTTGGATCCTGAGCCCTGCAACCTCAAACTCCAGCTGGCAACTCGAGAGGAGGGCGCCTCCGTAGCCTGGAGAGGGTTCGATGGACACAAACGGTCGCAGCAAGAGTCAGGCTAGTACCATACAGGCCTAGATAACTACCAATACTGCTGTGGGGGTTCCCTATTATATTTATAGTATAAGGGGCCCTATTCTAATTGTTAAGGCTCCTATAGTACTAGTCTCGCCGTAGTAGCCGTGGTCGTCCTCGTCGCAGTCGGAGGAGTCGCAGTGGTCGTAGTAAGACAGCAACAGCAGGTTGTGCAACTCCTTCCAGTACCATGACCACACGGGCTGCTACTTGAGGACAGCCGGGCATGCTGTATGGCTCTGTCATGGTAGGAGAAGACCCACACTGCTGGAAGCCGGAGAGTTTATGTTTCTCTGATGCAATTCGAGGACCGCCTGCGTGACATCATCCTCCGTCCTGGTGCCATGCATGGGTTGTTCTGCCGGTTAAAGCGTATCGCGTCGATGTCGGAGAGCTGCTCCTTCAAGCGCGGAGTCGGATCGGAGTAGGTGTCTGATGTTCTGCATGGGTTGCTCTCAGCATAGTTGAAACAGCTAAATCTACTGTAGCGAGAGCTGACCGCGCAACGTGCATATCGGCCAGCGTCATCGCATCCCAACGTCTTAGTCTCAATCCAGAGCTCTGTTTGCAGCAGTGGGCAGAACCTTAGAATCTGCGGTCCTCGCTTGCCCGCGCTCGCCAGCTCCCGGCCGCTGACAGCTTCTACTACACCTACTACAAGACGAAGGGCGAGCGGGAAGCTTAGAAGAAAAACTGCTCGAGGCCTACCTGATCCCCCAAGTGAATTCGGGCTCTCCTTTTTTGGCTCATGAGGAGAATGTCTGACCCAGGCCGATACTTCAGAGTTTCTCAGAGCAACTGCCTCTCAGGTGCACGCCGCTGTGGGATCTGGATGAGGCGAGCAGGCCCGCCGGGAGTGTGGATGGTATGGGCTTCAGGCGATATCGTGGTATCACATGGGTGGTGGTCAAAATTAAGGTCCCGTTTTGGGGTACCCTAAATAATAGGTGCCGTACCATGATAGGGAAATAAAAAGGGACCATAATTTTGACCACCACCCACATATGTTGTGAACCCCGAAGCCTTGTTCTAACCATTAAGGCTTTTGCATGGTAAAAAACTTCCCTTACGGCAATCTGCTCGGCCTCGCAGGGATCGGGTCTTCTACCCCGAGGATCCCTTCGGCAGCTCCGCGAGCGGCCCGTCGGCAAGCAGAGCTTCAAGTCGGTTCTCTTGAGCCAAGAGGAGAGAGCGAGAGAGACATCTACCTTGCGAAAGAAAGAGAGAGGGCCATACGTGCAGCATGCACAGTATGTAAGTATGATCAAGTATGCATAGCTAGGCAGGTAGGTCGGTGGATAGGTAGGCTGGAGCAGACGTGGATATGCGGATAGCTGGGTAGGCAGATAGGTGTGTGTTTGTGTATATGTATGTGTACATGTACCAATGCCAATTAATGTATATGTCATCTATAGACATGTGCATATTTGTATGTAGTAGACTTACCGTTGCGGTTCTGTCTCAAATCCGAATCGTCGGAAGTGACCGACTTGACGACCCCGTTCAAAGAGCTCCTGCGCAGAATCAACAGCCTAACCTCAGCCACCAACAACTTTAATACAGCTGTTGAATGATGACCAAAATCTCCCGATTGTCCCTATATGTTCTTACAGTAATACAGCCTACTTAACCCTATTCGAATTCTTATAAAGGCCCCCAAATAATTGGGTGTCCCTGAGGCACCTTCGCTCGTGCCTTTATGGGAAATCGCCGTCGTGGCTTCCGTCAGAACTACTACCTGAGCAGCTGGGACATGAAATGGTGCTCGGGCTTTCGGGGGTTTTGGGGTTAAATGATGCGAAGAGTGATGGTCAATCCGACTTCAAAGGCATAACTGAGTCAAGGGTCCCTGGCTCATAGAAGGTGCGCCCGTGACGTTCTGTCGCGGGCTGCGGTATAGGGTCTCGAAAGTTGAAATGTTGGCATGCGGCATACGGAGAGACTGTCTCAGCAAAGCATGCTGCTGCCTGCTACAAGCTTTCGTGATTGTCGGAACTCGTGAATTGTGAATAACCGTTGGAATTTCGCACGTGGTCTCACGAGCTAAATCTGAGTATGTGGAAGCTCAACAGGAAATTGCCCCTTGGCTACTTGGCCCTTTCACGCACCCGCTCACACCCAGAACACCTGATGCGCACGGGCTTCGCGGAAGTCTCCCTCGAGGCGGGCCTGTCGTGTGTGTGTGTGTGGTCATGACCCGTGGGCCATATAGTATAACTATATAGTATATAGTATATAGTAGCTACGATGACAATGGATGTTGCGTGCAGTTAATCTCCAGAAGGTTTGCTGCCAGAAACTCTAAGCTCGACTTCCATGTCCTTTTGCCTGGCTCCCTTTCATAGTGGTGCTGCCCCTTGAAGCCTAAAGCCGAAAGTGCCAGGAGAGCGATGCTGTGAGGCGCCTGGACATGGACGAGCTGCCCGGGAGCCTAGCGGGCCCACTTTGCATGGCTGGAGTACTTACTGTCACTGGTACTTGCCATCTTGTTCCTGGAAGGCTTAGTCATGCATACAGCTGGCACCGGTGCACGAGTGAAGAGCAGGTGTTGTTGAGGAGGTTCGACATGTAACAGTCCCGAGTCTCCATTTTAAGATCTGGGCTTTCAAATATCACGATCACTGCGATGATTGCTCTGGCTACCATTGCTGCTGGGGCTGCTGCTGCCGCGGCTACTGCTGCTGCTGCGAATCTTATTGCCATGACCCTCACTACATGTCATCATCTTTGTTCTGGAACAAGGATGATGATGGTGATGATGATGATGATGATGGTAAGACGTCGAAGATAGATCAGGTGGCTTTGGATCGTGTAATGGGTGTGTTGGTTTTGATCCGGGGCCGTGCATGTTAAGAATGCCCTTTGGGCTTGGAAGTTTGGGGGTTTGGGTTTTGGTGGTCTTCTCGTGGGGTCTTAATCCACGCTGCCTTCGACAACCACATGGCCTCTACCAAGTCGCTGTGATCACTTTGCCGAACCTGCCAAACAGGACCATGACCTTCCGGTTGTGAAGAGAAGCCCCGAAGCATTGTTTGCGCCATTCGCCTCAGGACACTCAATCAAACACGGCAAGGAAGCAAACGATCCCCACGCATTCCAGACCTGCAAACCTGAAACTCCTAGTGGCCTAAACTCCTTTTGTCCCAAACCTCATGTTCCTTACAACCTTAAACCCAAATCCTAAAACCCTAAGCCCACAAAGTCCTGAAGCCGTACAAGCAGCCGCAAAAGTAGCCAAGCTCTGTGCAGGGCCGCGGCGCCGCTCCCACGGCGCTTGGCGGCCGTGGGCGACTGCGGGGTCAGGGCCCTGGAAAAATTTTTGGGCAAAAGTAGGGAGAATAGCAATAAGAATAGCGGGAGTGAGAAGGGATAGACATCGTCGCAGTCATAGAAATAATGACAGCTTATGGTTGTAGTACTCGTCGTCGTCGTAGTCGTGTTGGTGGTAGTGGTGGTGGTGGTGGTAGTCGCAGTGGCAGTAGCAGTGGTAGTGGGATGTGGAGTAGGAGTACGAGTACGAGTAGGGGTCATCGTATGCATGGCAATAATCACAACCCAACAGCACCAGCGACGATAATGGTCGCAGTGATGCTGGTCATGGTACTGTCTGTGAAGCTATGAATCACAATGTATGCGTGATGGTAATGATGAATTGTAATGGTAGTAGTGTTGGTTGCAGGAGCTGGAACGGTGATCCCAATGGGAGTAGAAGACAATTGGTATCAGGCGTAACATAGCTGGAACAGTGATGCAGTGCTAGGAGTAGCAGTGCCAGAGGTAATACTAGCTGTAAGGCGATCGCAGGCTAAAGACAACGGCCGGAGTATCTTAATCAAAACAGCAGGGAGGTATGGTAGCTGAGAGGTTCTTAGAGTCCATGTTCGGACCTCCTTCGAAGGGCTTCGATGGAGCGGTTCCGCCTTTTGGCTTTGCGGTATAGCGTCACAGGAATCTGATATTTTCGGTTTCTGGGGAACTTGACCGGCAAGCATGATTTCAGAGAGGATGTCAGAGCAGGTTCAAGCGTATGGGCGCGCCATGTTCTTAATGTACGCTTTGCCGCAGGGGTGTCCGCTACCACTGCAGCTACGTGCCACTGCAAATTTCAATGGCTGGCTTTGCGTTGACGAGTTTCACTTTGCGGAGTGTCTTTCCTTCGAGCATCCTCTCAACGATGGTCTTGCGAGGATTTGCATGGCCCTAACCCCTAAACCCCAAACCACAAACCCTGAACCGTTATATGGCTGCCTTTGGCTCGTCCTCAGGTCAACTGCACCGAGATGTGTCGACCGCAGCCGCTTGGATGAGCATCGGATCGCCTGAGCTTGGATCGTTTGGGCCTTCAGAGCTGATTTCGTCTATCCTAAATTCTAAACCCTAAACTCCTAGACCTGTTGAGTGGTGCTGCATATGAGGTTTTGGGGTAGACAGTAGAGAGGCTTCGTAAGCTTGGGATGTTGCTGGGCCACAGCATGCTTGTTGCTGCCGGCACAGACGTTTGTATTCAGCGCCAGGAACCCGAACTGCATGTTTACTGATTTTTTCAGCTGTCGTCCTCTGAACACATGCTGTCTGGAAGAGTTGGTTCCCCGCAAGTATGCCTAAAGTGGGCATTATCTCCTTGTAAATATCCTCGTCGTTGCTGCCAAGATTATTTGCGTAATGCTTTTTGAAGCAGTGTGAGCGTGCTTATGTTTCTTGTCTTACTGTCACATGCTCTATCTTTTTGGTAAGGGCATTGGTGGTGGTGGTGGTGGTGGTGGTGGTGGTGATGACGATGGCTATGTCGATGGTGATGACACCCGTATTGACGATGATGCTGACGAATGATGGTGATGGTGGCAACGACGGTAATGCTGCTGATGAGAATGATGGCAATGATGAAGATGATGATGGTGATGATGATGATGATGATGACAAGACCCGTGTTGACGATAATGATGCTGACGACAAAGAAAATGATGCTTATTGTCATGGTTGTATTGCCCGTCTTGATGAATATGATGATGGTGGTGGTGGTTTTGCTGACGTACAGCACCATGCAGCCTCCTGCTAATTGCTGCTACTGCTACTGCTACGGCCACTGCGACTGCTCCTGCTGCTGCCTCCTGCTCCCGCCTCCTGCTCCTGCTCCTGCTCCTGCTTCCGCTCCCGCTTCTGCTTCCGCTCCCGCTCCCGCTGCTGCTGGTGCTGCTGCTGCTGCTAGTATTACGACGACTACTACAACTGCCACGACTGCTACGACTGCTACGACGACTACTACCGCTACTGCTGCTGCTGCTGCTCCTACTACTACTACTACTACTACTACTACTACTACTACTACTACTACTACTACTCCTAGTGTCTTAGTAGACGACGACTACTACTAAAATACGACAACGACAAGGAAGAGCGACTGCTACCGCGCTTTTCTTCGCTACTGGGCTACTTAATTGCTGCAAAGCTGCTACTGCTACCTGTCTGGAGCTTCTACAGCTGCCATGTGCCTCAGTTATGTAGCTGACTCACTCGTCGTTTTCTGGCGTTGCCACCAGGTCAGCCACGAAGGCCGAGATGACGATGTGCCAGATTGCGTGTCCCCAACTCAGGAAGCTTCGTGTAGAGACTCAAGACTCTCTGGGCCTTTAGGGTTACCTCGACTTGTTCTCTTGGAGTTTACGGGATTCCACGGGTCCGGCAGAGGCCTAGGGCTGAAGACCTGAAACCTAGAGAGTTAAACCTCGAATCTCTAGACCCGAGATCCTCCGAGGCTTGGAGAAGTGCGCAGAAGACAATGTGACGAGTGAGGACAGTGATCTGTATTGGAGTAGCAGCAGCACAACCTACGGCAGTGTCATGTACACGGGCACCACGACCATGGTTGCGGAAGACAGTGACAACGAGACGATGACAGTGACCATGACGACCCGTTCATCGAGCATGCTTGCGGAAGACAGTGGCAACGACACGATGACAGGGACCATGACGACCAGTTCCTGGAGCATGCTTGCGGAAGACAGTGGCAACGAGACGATGACAGCGACCATGACGACCAGTTCCTGGAGCATGGTCGCGGAAGACAGTGACAACGAGACGATGGTCGCGGAAGACAGTGACAACGAGACGATGACGACCAATGCTACATCGTCAACCTTCACCTACGCGAGGGACTCAGATCGCTGACTACCCACCTGCTATCATCTTCCTACCCATCTATCTATCTTTCCATCTTGCTATCTTTTCGGTCGGTCGATCTTGATCAGTTATCATATCTATATCTCTGCCCGTATGTGTAGCTACAACACATCTCTTCCATTTTTCATCTTTATCTGTATCTAGACCCTTTCTGTATGCGAAATATGTGCATACACTATGTTTGTATGCACATCTATATCTGTGTTTGAACCTACATCTGCATCTGTATCTTTGTCGGTAAATGTGCTTGTTTCGTATCTAAATCTCTATCTATATTTGTCTCTGTATCGGTGTCTACATCGCTACAAAGTTCCGGAAACGGCTCGCCGGCGGAATTTGGTCCAGTCCTCTCTGCTGTCGGTTCCTATCAACTAAAAAGAAGATAATAACATGAGATGATATGACAAATGCTCGGATAATACTTCGCCGGCAAAGTTTGCTCCAATCCTCGATACGTATCTCCACTTATCTTGTCCTGTGGTTCCTGGCCACGATCAAAGGAGAGGATTTCTTGGCGAAAAGCTTGCCCGGCAAAAAGTGATCCTCTCTGTTGTCATTTCTAATTGTAACAGCAGAAAGCAAACAACATGAGGCAACCAAGGTGTGTTCCGGGAACAGCTGGCAGACAAAATTTGGTCTAATCCTCTGCGCTGTTGTTTCCTATCGGGGGGGAGAGGGGGGGGAGGAGGACCGTGTGGTGGAGTGGGGTGGGATGGGACGGGGTGGGGTGAGGTGGGGTTTCAAGAACAGATCTGGGCACTTGGTTCCAAACCAAAACCGCACCACTTTGTTACGGGGTTTGGGGGGTTGCAAGAACAAGACCGCACTTTGTTACGGGGGCTTGTGCGGGTTCAAGGGAAGGGTGGGGTAGAGTGGAGTGGTGTGGGGTGGGGGCGGTTCGATAGCAACACATTTTCAGAAGGAGTTTTCTGAAGGGTTGCATTTCAGAAAATTCGGTGCTATCGAACCGCTGCGCTGCTGTATTTTCCATCGCAAAAACTGACAACAAACAAAGGCGGTTCGATAGCACCAAATTTTCTGAAGGGTTGCCTTGCAGAAAATTTGGTGATGTCGAACCGCTGCGCTGCTGTATTCTTCATTGCAGATACTGACGACGGTTCGATAGCACCATGACAAAGATGACGAAGATGACAAAGATGATACAGATGATGAAGATGATCTAGATGAAGAAGGTGATGAAGATGATGGGGATGATGGAGGTCACGAGATGATGGAGATGATGGAGACGCTGAAGATGATGGAGATGATAGAGATCATGGGGATGATGAAGATGATGGATATGATAAATACTTAAATAATCTACATAACTTAAATCCTGAGGAGAAGGGGGTCGGGGGTCCCGGGGATTTCAAAAAATGAATCCGGAGGCACCCCCCATATTTAAATTGTTTACTGTATTCCCCAGACCTCCCGGGACCCCCTCCCCAGGATTTAACTTATTTACATCACTTAAACTGCTTGAACTAAATGAATAAATGATTTGAATATTGGGTTGTTCTCCGGATTTAATCTATTTAAGTTATTTAACTCCCGGCCCGAATTTAATGGCTGGAATAATTTGGATATTGGGGGCCCTCCGGATGTAAATTGTTTAAATTGTTTAATTCCCGGCCCGAATTAAAGAATGTAGTTAAAGTAAATAAGTTAAGTAATTTAGATAATCTACTTTAAATCCTGGGGAGGGGGGGTCGGGGGCCCCGGGATTTCAATAATTTAAGTAAATTAAATCCGGAGGCCCCCCCTCCCATATTTATATGATCTAAATTATTACATTCCCCGAAACCCCCTCCCCAGGATTGAATCTATTTAAAGTATTTAAAATAGTTAATTCCCGGCTCGAATTAATATACTATTGGGGTGGTGTCCGGGTTTAAATTATTTAAAGTATGTAATTCCCGGCCCGAATGAAACAATGTATATAATTTAAATAATTGCAATGAATAATGTAAATCCTGGGGAGGGTGGGTCGGGGGCCCAGGGAATAAAATATTTTACATAGTAGGTACCCCCCATATTTAATTTGGCTAAATGTTGTAATCCCTAGTTCTTTAGACCCCCCGGGACCCCCTCCACAGGATTTACATTCTTCAAATCATGTAGATTATGTACATTATTTAAAATATGTAAATTATGTAATAACCTGCCCGAACTGAGTGATTTAAATGTGGGGTGCCCTCCGGATTTGGATTATTTACTTCCCGGCCCGGATTAAAAAAGTTGAATAATTCATGTAATCTCGATCCTGGTGAAGGGGCCCGGGAGTCCCAAGCCCCGGGATTTAACTAACGCACAACATTTAAATCCGTTGGCCTCCGCAATAGTTAAGTTGTTTGAATTGTGTAATTCGCGGGGCCTCCGACCCCCCTTTTTGGACCTCTCCACCAGGTTTAAATTTTGTAAACTATTCAAATGCTTTAATGGATTTCAAGTATTTTAATTCGGGCCGGGAATTTAAATAATCTGAATAATGTAAATCCGGAGGCCTCCCCCAATATTTCCTTTTTGGGAATTCCGGCTTGGAATCTCCCCAGATCCGACAATTCGGCTTATTTGGAAGCTGGCTCTTGTGTACATAATAGGGAATCAGAGCAGTGTATCCTCTCTAGAATACAAGAGCCTGGACCCAAATACACCCGGTTTAAGCCGCACCCCCCCGTATCCCCAAACCCCAAGCCCACGTTAGCATCGGCTCCAACGTTCTGCGAGACGAGTGGGCAAAACCCTGCAGTGCTCTGGCACGAGCAAACCCGGAGCGCTCCATCAAGCCCAAAAATCTTTATACTGTAGCTTATACAGTCTAAGAGTCTTTGCGCCCCAAGAGCGTCAACCTTTGAGTTCTCCGATCCTTGTTGTATGGTGTGGAAGGCTTGCACGAGAAGGCAAGTGTTGAAGCTTTGATGCCCGAGGCAGTCACCGTCCAAGTCGTCAATGTGGAGGTGCAAATGACTATGGACGATGCCGCGGCAATCATGAAGAACGCAGCTCGGCGCATTTTTCCGAACCTTCCTGGTGCACCTTTAAACCGGGGTGGAAGGGGGTTTAGGGTTTGAGGGGTTTACACGTAGGGAAGTTTAGGGTTTCGGGGTTTGGAGTGTAGGGCTTCATACGAGACCTTGAATTAGGTG